AACTACTAGTGTATTGTGTCAAACTTTATGCCAGTTATTATGTTAATGTCGCATGATCTTATTGTTTATTTATTATCCATCAATCAAAAATACATTACTAATAAAATAATGGATACAATTTGATCATATTTATTCATCCACCAATACACCGATCATAAAACGTAATATTTATAATGAATTTATTCATCCACCAATATCATTTATATATTATTTACAAAGTGATGAATAAAGATCAACCATAAAATCTACTATGTCAAAGTAGAACTGTCAATTTGGCCCGCCGGTTGGCCCGTCCCGCCACGCGACAAAGACGTGTTGGACCTTAATTTTCCAGGCCCGCCAAGGAGCGAGCCTACGCTGGCTGGCCCGCGAGCTGAGGCGGGATAGGGCGGGCTAACCCGCGGGCCGACCCGCTTGTAAAAAAATAAATAAATACATATACATATATTATATAGGGTTGAGTTCACATGAGAATGATTCTCAATGAAAAAAATGAGAATAAATTGTAGCCATTAGATCATCTGATCTAATGATTAAAAAAAACAAAATAATACATTCATTAAGGGTACATAAACATTTAGGGCATGCTTGTTTATGGATTTTTTCAATCCAATTTTTTCAACTCAAATATTTAACTCAACTTTAACTCAACCCCACTATCTTTAATATTATTCATACAATTAAATAATAAAAACCAATCATTCTTACACATCACATCAACTTTAATTCACTATTCATCCACTCACATAATTTTAACTACCAATCATTTCCAATCATTTATCTCCTACTTTATATCAAATCAATTTTAATCATTTTTATTTTAAATATTATTTTAATATATTTTTTAAACTCCACTAACAATTAACCACTTTAAATATAGTTAACAAAATAAAATATTTTGGTTGAAAAAATCCATAAACAAGCGCCCCCTTAACATTTACACATACCAACTAAACACCACATTAATGGCCTTACCCCAAATTAATTTGTTTTCGTTCCCCAGCACCCATCTGTCACCTACCGTACTCTCTCTCTCTCACAAGAAGTAAGAATCTAGAGAATCTTTCGGCAGATCTATTGGTAAAGCTTAAAAAAAGTCC